GGTGTAAGGGGGTTATTTGTTCCAGATACGTATCTTAATTTTGGGAGCTCTCTGAGCAGACTGTTCCCATGATGCAGTGAGATCCCTGGAATAATCAGATATTCAGGGCCAGACTTTGGGGGCTGCACACAGGAATACCCCAGAACTGCTGCCCAGGGTGGAAATTTCCATCCTTGTCCACATTGGTACTGCCGTGTTTCCAACCTCTCTGCGTATGTGAGCAGTGACAAGGAAGGCTCATTGCAGTCGCCCTTAAAGGAAGAGATTACCTTAAAGACTATTTCAGTGGAAAGAAAAATGCATTTTTTATGTATTATTCTTTTAATAATTAAGGGGTAGAAATAGAGAGAAGGCCTGTATTAATATATGAGCTTTAATCCGCGGCAGGAAGGTCAAGAGGCAGCGCGCAGGATGTCCCAGGAGGTCTGTCTTTGAAGCTGATGGAAATCTGTAGAGACCTGTGATGTTTCCAAATGCGCTTAAAATCGCTGTTACTGGTGTTCTTTGCTCTGGGATTCTTTCTCTTTGCAGCGTTGGTTTTAATTTGTTTTTATTCTTGGCATTTGAGATTTCATGAGGTGCCTCCTTAAGAAAAGAGGCGAATGAATGGGTAATATTTGGGGGACGAGATAATGAAATGACAGCGGGCACCGTGTCCCCTCCTGGAGGTGCTGCGGACGTGGCCGCGTCGCCGTGCGCACGGGCAGCACTTGCTGTTGGACAGATGGAGGCTCCCTGAGTGCACATCGTTAGGGCTCATCTTGTAAACGGATTCCCCGCCTTGGGGCTGGCTTTTGTGTTTAAATTATGAGGAATAACACTGGGGAGATGAGTGCAAGGCGGGGGCCTGGGTGTCCAGGGTTGTGGACATTGGGTACATGAGAAATAAAGAATATATTGTAAAGCTGTGGTGTTTTTGAGCTGCTATAGGGTGAACGCGGAGCTTTACGTGACACGTTATCAATGTGTTCTTGGTGACTCTGGCAGCTATAATTGGAAATTTGTGGTTTAATTACCCTAAGTAATTGGGGAACACAGATATGACTGGTTTTGCAGGCCGCAGCAGGGAATTACTTTTGCAGCAGATGAACGTAACGAGATGGAAGCTCGTCCATAGGGCACATGCGGAAGGCTAGTGTGAAATTAGGCAAATGGAATATTTGATTTCCATAAAAGTACAGTAGGATGCAAAAACAAGCTCAGATTTTGGAAAATATCAGAGAAAACCATTCTAAATGCTGCATCTCTCTTCAAATGTGTGCAGAATCCTTGAAAATCAGACAGACCGAATCAGACAAGACCGTTGTAAGGGGCGCGCGTGCACTGGGCTTGATCTGCTGCTGAAGGAGAAAGTCCTAAGCTGATGACTTCAGAAATTAGCCTTTTTCAGCGGGGACCCCTCTTCCTTCCTTCCTTCCTTCCTTCCCCACCTTCCTTCCCTTTCATGATTTTAGTTGAATAAGAAAATCACTTTTAAGACAGGATGCTTTAGCGGCTGAGTATCTACAACTTCTTTGCTTAAGTTGGGGTGTTTTTTGGTAGCGCGCCACTTTTTGTAAGAAAATTGGATTTTTGAGTCCAAATTGTAAGCAGTGTGTGTCTGTACATACATATATATATATATGTATGTATAAAAGGATGCATCTTGCAAGAGGAGCTGTATGAAGTGCTGTGATCCAATGTGGAAAAGTAATTGGTGTGAGGAGTCATGTAGCTTGGTGCCCAAATGGCAGAACAGTTTCTCTTATAAAACTGAGATCTGCAGAGTACAATTAACTGTCATTAATTCTGTTCAATAGAAATATGTTCCATTTACTGTACAATCCGAAGCCAGGCTTCGATGAGTTTAAATAGCTGAAATCTAAATTATACAGGCAGTCCATTAAACAGCAGCAGAAACCTTTAAAGGAAATGGGCTCGCTCTGATACCACTTCATAATAAAATCATTTGGCAGATAAGACCCGTGGTCTGGGTGTCGGGAATGTTCCTGCGCGCTCCAGATGAGCCCAGGAAATTGGCTGAGCTCTTCACTGCGGAGCGGGGCTCGCGCGCCGGCTTCGTGACAAGGAGCCGGCAGCGCCGCTTGTAATCGGCTCAGCGGGAAGTGACACGGAAAGATCAGGCTGGCAATTTGTTTGGTGTCAGCCGGAGACACGGCCCTACCTGTCAGGGACGGTGCCTTAGTGCTCAAAACCGCAGAGCTGGCATTCCCAGTGCGTCTCTGCTCGGGTTTCTCGCTCCTTACTGAAGCTCCATACCAGTGGGTTGTAGTTAGAGGTCTGCCGGAGTTTGCCAACCGCTTGAAAATAGAGGCAATAACGTGATTTTCCAGTTGTTAATACGTGCGTGCAAAATAAACGCGTGAAGACGGTCTTTGTCTTCAGAAGGATACACTGGGCACTTGGATGTCACCGTTTTTTCAGCACGCTGTGCAGAGCCCAAGGTGCTGCACGCTTGGATGCTGCAGGTGTTGATTAATCAACTAAAACCCAAACGAGCCTTTGCTGTGAAGATGCTTCCCACACACAGTGCCCTTTTCCCGTGCTGAAGTTCATGTGCTGCAAATGCGATGTGCTTTTTTTTTCACCAGAAGGTCTTTAAGCTTTTTGCTTGAGCTCTAATTTTTAAAATTAGAGCTAGGTAATTAGGTAATGTGTCGTTACCTAATGTCATTATGTTACATAACACGATCTGGTGAGCTGCAATGTTACAGAAGTGTAGAGTCAATGGAAAAAGGATGCAGTAGCACCTTGCTATGTACTAAGCATGGAGACAAGAAGGCATTTGGTACAGCTAGCTCATTTCGGTGTTTTTCATGGGCCACAAGCCTCATCCACACAGATTTGTTTTGTTGGGAAATTTTTATGTGGCTTGGGTCCACACAGGAGCTGTTTTTAAATTGGCATATTTGTATTTTGCGTCTCTGGTAAAAGAAAGTAATTGTCTTTATGGGAAGGTTTAAATAGCTGCTGCGGATGCATCCATAACAGTTCTCCTTTGGGTGTTTTTCCAATTTCGATCTTAAGTGGCGTTGCTCTGCACCTGGATTAACTTGTTCTCTTATTGTTTTCTGTTCTCTCTTGCTTTGGAGCCGACCTAGCGGGATGGCATGTTGGTGGCACGGGCCGCCGGCAGCCAGGTGTTTAATTTGGGATGGTTTCGGAGGGATCCTCGCTGCTTGCCTGGTGGAGCATTCACTAAACGACGCTTGCAAAACTGAGATGCTCAGAAAATCCCGCGGGTTGTGTATCTCCGTCTGGGAGCGCTTCCGTGGAGTTAAATTGCTGTACCTGCCCTACCTACCTGAATTTATACTGACAAGATTGATGCTAAACCCTTCCAAGGTGGGAAGGGGGTTGTCCCAGGTGTTTTTGGGCCGTGCCCCGGGATGGAGCTCCTGGTGGCGGTGGCAGTGGCTGCTCTGGGCCCTTTTCCGTGCCGGCTCTCCGGCTCCGCGTGCCGGCGGGATTGCTGCTCCCGGCGCCGCGGCCAAGGTGACCTTCCGCCTCCCTTTGATCCTGATGTGCTCTGACACCAACCTGATCTGTAACCTCCCAAAGACCAGAATCTCTTGCAGCCTGGGTTGAAGCCGTGGCTCGGCATGACTGGGGAATATTTGCTTTTGAATCCCTTCCCACTGAGCACGTAATTTAACTATCCTGTTTAGCGGGCCTGCTTTGAGACAAGTGTGTTGGGAGGAATTTCTGGCTTACTGAGGGAAAACAGATACTGCCCTGCTGTCAGGGTCTCAGGGTGAGAAAAGTACTGATTTGATGGACAGGGAGGATGTGGAGGTTTTGCATGTGGTTTACTCCATCTGAGGCACAAGCTCCTGCCTCCCAGGGCTTCCCCCTGCGCTCGGGGTTGGAGGAAACCTTGGCAAAGCGGGAGGGCACCCCCCTGGCACAGCACAAATGGAAGGCCTGCATGTATCTGTATATACATAATACATATGGACAGTTCCTCCTTAGAAATACGTTTTGTCAGTATAAACGATGGTAGTGCATTCTTCGTGTTCTTTATGGAGCGTAAGAAGCACTTGCCTTTTTGGAAGAGCATTCAAGTTTGCGAAACATCGCGTAGAACAGTGTTTTGCAATGCATAGGGTTTTATAAGGCTTTTTCCATCGGAGTATTCGTGCTAATGGACAATCATTCCTGCAAGAGCTGAAGTTTTCAGGCTTTGTCTTCTGAATAGCAGTTATCTATGTGGATATAAAAAAGCAGAGCATAATAACACTCCATTAAATATTTGCTTGCCTTTGGGAGCAGCATCTCTGCCTTCTGGCGAGTCGTGTGTGCGCTTTCTGCTTTCGAAGGTCATTATTGTTAATCAGGCTCTTCTTTCCCATTCATGCTGTAGGTTTTATTCCGAGGCACCACTTCTGCTGCAATTGTTGCCAAGACCGTTCTTAATACAACACACCTTATTTTACAGCAACCTTGTAGAGTCCAGTTGTCAAAACCAAACAAAAGTAATTACGTGTCTTCTGTCATGTCAAATGTAATTTGAGAAAGCGCAGTTTTTCCCGGGGGCAAATCCGATTCAGTTTGCTGCATTCCATCTCCGATTGGTTCCCTTGATTTTCTTTACAATTAGAAGAGAAAATATGTTAGCGTTGGGTTCTTGATAGCAAGTTAACCACAAGAGATTCGATTAGTTTCCTGCCTTACTTTGGTCTGGTTCAGAGGTTGTGACCTGGTCATTTTATTAACTCAATTAAGAATAGTCTTGTATGAGTTGCTTTGTTTTTCTGGCAAAATGTCTATTCGAATCAAAGTTGATTTTTATGCAGCCAATTCAGTTATTTATCATCATAAAGCATCTAGTTTCTGTTTTTAGATCATACTTGGAATAAATTACACATGCTATGCAAATGAACATGGTGGCTCTTTCTAAGCTTAGGCTTTTTTTTTTTTTAATTTACCTGCTTTTTTTATGCTCTTACTTTGCAGAACAGAAGTTAATTTCCATTATTTTAAAATCTTGTTTTTTAAAGATTGCGTATATATTGAAAGTCGCCGGCCGAATACCCCATATTTCATCTGCAGCATTCAAGACTTCAAACTGGTAAGGACAATTTTCACGTCTTCCCCCTTCTCCTTTCCCCCTGTTCTCCACGGAGGTGCTCGCGTTTCTGAGCGTTTCTTCCTGGAGCTTCTTCCGAGTAAACCTGGACTTTGGCAGCGGCAGCTGCTCTGCTGTTGGGGCAGAGACCTCTCCTAGTGTAGGTGGAGGGTGCTGGTCAACTGAGCCATCAAGTTGGCAGTTGTCATCTCACAAGGTTTGTAATCCACACAAATAGTCACTTGGTGTGTTTTAGGGGAAGTAACGGCACGGTAGGTTCACAGCTTTTCCACAGAAGCAGGATATTTGAAAAAACTTTTACTATGGATCTTCCTGCTGTTGGTGCTTCACTGAAGGTCTGGCCTTATTAGTATATAGTCTGATAGTGTAGATCTACCCACATGCTGTTGCTATCAAAATACATCTTTCTTCTAGCTTTCTTGCTCAATTCTTCCCCATTTTTGTGAGCAGTGAAGGAGAACATGCTGCTTTATGCTGTCATGTTAATATTCTTCAGTACTGATGTCCGTGCTAGTGCTTGTTCTCTGTCTGGTTTTCATACTTCTGTGGGTGATTTTTCTTGGATATCTTTGTGGTCTCAGAAATCTTGGTAGCTCTCACTTCTTGAGCAGCTTCTTGTTTCCATATTTGCTGCCTTGAATAATAACAATCCACTGCGGAAAAGAATTTTTCTTCGTTTTTAATGGAGTCGCTGGGTTTTTAGCTGGTGGATTCTAACAATGCATTAAGGCACATTTGTACTTTGCACGTTAGCAGGTGCTTTTGTATTTGAAGGGAATCTCTCATGAAATACTGAATTACAATGTGGTAGTTGCCATTCTGGGCAGAAGCTCCTGCTGAGATACATTAATTGCTCAGGGTATTAACAGCAGTAAAAACTGAAGCTTCTGTTGTAGGTATTAGTCTAGAACAGCGCATTAAAGCTGTCTGCAAAACTACGTGGGATGTGTAGTGCAGCGTGTTTTCATAGCTTTTCCTGGGAATTTTTGGGTGGTTTCTTCAGGTGGAAGATACCCCTGTAGTTCATGGGCAGAGTTGATAGGCTCAGAGTGGAGGAACCAGGGGCTGTGTTAACGCTGGGGGCACAAGTGCAGACAAACCCCGCGCGGATGCGGTGCTGTGTGATGTTCCCCAGGCCTCCGGGGTCCCCTGCAGCCCTCATCGCTCGTGGCTCCGCGAGGACGGGCGCCCGTCGGCTCTGCCTGCGCCCCTAAGAGCTGGGAAGGACCCGCCGAGCCGGAGCTTTTTTTGCGGGGAAGGGAGCAGGAGGAAGCTCAGAGCCCTGGGGTGGCTTGGGGACCGCGCAGGTGTCCGGGTGAGCACGCGAGGAAGGGGTGAGTTCCCTCTGCAGGAAGCCAAGGTGGTTCACAGCAACGCTTTTTTCTTACTAGTGTCAAACGTTAGCAAGAAAGCTAATTATTGGGAGTAATTGCTCCTTCCCCTAAAGCCTTCTGAATGTGCATTGGCTTTCGCAAGGTTTCCTCTTTGCGTTTATTTAGGAGCCATGTCTGTAACACACATTTAATGATTCACAGCCCGGGCCTGTTCCGCCTGGAGCGCGGATTTATCTGCTGCTCTTGGAGGCTGAGGTGAGGCTTGGAAACCTCCTGTCCTGGGAGGCTTTTCCATGTTGTGCAGCTTTGGGAGAGCTGCCTGCAGACGTGCTGGGCGCTCGCGCTGAGAGCAGGCGAAGGGGAGAGGGCGCAATGGTTGGAGGAGCAAACACAAGAGTTTCCAGGGGTGTTCCCTGTGCCCATAGCGTGTGACTCTAACTCAACTCGTACAAAGAGGATTTGAGAGCAGGCGAAGGGGAGAGGGCGCAACGGTTGGAGGAGCAAACACAAGAGTTGCCAGGGGTGTTGCCCGTGCCGATAGCGTGTGACTCTTTAACTCAACCTGTACAGAGAGGATTCTTTTTATCAGTGCAGGGGTGCCAAATATCAATGGAAGATCCATTAGCCGTTTGTGGCAGCTGAAGCTCCCCAGCAAAGTCTTGGTAAGGAAGCCTTCGTTTAGGCTTTCTGCAGAAAGACACCTGACTGAATAGCTCCTGCTCCTACAAAGACCTAATTCCTTTCTTGTGCAGTGTTATTTTTAGGATTCAGTGAAATTCAGAGCATGTTTAAGACCCACAGAAGGGTTGGAAGGCAGGAGCGGAATTTACCAGTTTTGACAAACTGTCTTAGCGTTCATTTTGTGAGAGACTCTGAAGAATCGAGTGCCAGTATCAGGAAGCACAGTGATAAATATTTATAAATATATACGTATATATTTAACTGGAGATTAAAATGTAGGCATAGTTTGAGAGGGGGCTACCAGTCATCTCTGCTGTGTTTGGAACAGGCTCTAGGGGAGGCCCATAAATCTCCTGGCAGGCTGGAGAATTTGGCATGAAGGGAATTTCACTGATTGAACCTGCTGCCAAGGCCAGGGAGCCTGATCGGAACCAGAGCTGCGAAACTGCAGAGACACTTGGACCAGGCACAGCCGAATGACGGAGCTGCTGGGGAAGGAAAGACTGCAGGGTTCCACAAACTATCCTTATGTTGCCTTTTTACTCTTGTAGATACCTTATTGTGCATCCAAACCACTGCCTATGCAGCTGGGCCTGCTTAATCCAGAAATGGTAAAGAGCCCCGGGTTTAGTGTGTGCAGACTTAGCTAGTGAAATGAGATTACCAAGCATTAGTGCTGGGAAGAAAAGAAACAGAACATAGTGCAGAACAGAATAATTTTTAATTTCCCTCCCAAACATTAGAGCACTGCGTTGCAAGTGTAGCTAGGCGTGGAGCAGGGCTGAATATTTACAGGTACTTTGCATCTAAACTCTGAATTTACTGAAGCAAAAGCGGTTCCAGGCCAACTCTGAAGTCGAGAACTCCTCTGAAATAGGGAAAAAAAGCAACATCCAAACTGAAAGAGAAAGAGAAGCCTTGTCAGCCAAGAGGCCTACATGCTTGTTTTTCTACATTAATGGGTGGAAGTGAAGTAAGAAGCTAAATAAACAAAAACAATGATCAAAGGGGCATTGCTGAAAGCCAAAAGAAACAAATAACTGCTGCTGCTAACAAGATCTCTCTGACCATGGCACCAGTTAATGTATTAAAAAAATGCAAATCTGCCCTTTAATTTTGTCATTTATACCTTTTTCTAGAATTTCTGGTGTTTGATAAATGATCCAAATTTCCTCCTTAAGGCTTTACTTTTTCCTCTTAAAAAAATCAGGGAGGGAGAACCCAACCAGCAAATGGATTTTAGCAGCATGCTTCTGATTTATCGTGTTTTGATTTAATTTTGTGTCACATTTAAAATGCTAATGGGCTACACTTTGAGTCGGAGCATCAGAGAGAAACTTGCCTGGCTTTTAAAACAGGAAAAACGGTGCATTTGCCGTATAAAAGACAACATTATTAGTTGTGATGCAGTTGCCCTTTGTGCTGTGTGTTTACTTGATTGAAGCATCTTGACTGTGATGCTTTCTCCTTGAAGCCTGATTTGAATGGAGTTTACAGCTTGATTGCCCCAGGGCCTTGTAACAATTTATGGTCTGGATGGAAAGGCAGAAGTGCATAAAAAGACAGTTGTGAAACGCTGCTTGTGCCCTGTAATAGGAAATCTGGCTATGATGACCTTGGCCATAGGGGCCTATGGGATTATTTTACTGTGATCCAAAGGGATATAAAATGCAAAGTACTGCATCTTACCTGGATAAAGAGGAAAAATGAAAATAAATAGTGTTTTTTTTCTGAGCTATGCAGTGTAAGCTTCCTCTCCCTTGCCTGCTGCCTACGTATGGTCTTGCATTTTAGAAAAGGCTTCAAAATTAAGGTCTGTTACCCTGTGCACTTTTATAGGAGATGATGCTTTTGAATGCAAATCCCCGGGTGAGGTTTCTGGAGCCACAAGTGCCCGTGGATTTAAAAGCCTCGTTCTGTTTGCAGATGAATTGATGTTCTGTTCCTCAGCCGCAGCTGAATGAATTTGTGGCTAATTTTTCCTGGCCAGTTAGGAGGCTGCTTGACCTTTCCATTTTGGTGTGGAAAAAATGCTGATTAATATAGATTCTGGCTTCCCTAGGTTCATCTGCCCCTTTATAGCCCCCAAAAAGGCCTGAAAGATTTTCTTTCTACTCAAAACCTTTGCTAGAGCCTCTGTCCCATGACTGTCCCACCTTCAGCATGGATAAGGTTGCTCTTCAGGCTGAGCTAATAAGAGAGATGGACAGATGAGACATTTGAGGGAGCGCTGGATTATTTAAAATAAAAAAATAGACGGCAAATGAGATTGGCTGGTAGCTCTAATGCGAAGCAGCTTGAAATGCTGCTGCTGCTGCTGTGATTGCAGTGGGGCACGTGTGGGGAAGGAGATTAATATTAAAATGTTGGATATAGGGGGGTTTGGAGGAAGGAGCAGGGAATGATGAAGAATCAGAGGTGACAGTTTAAGGATTGCATGGCAGGAGCTGCACAGTGATTAAATTCACTGATGCTGTCATTGAGCTGTAAGGCTGAAGATAACATTCTCTCCTGTGCTGAAAACAAGAATCAATACAAACTCCTTGACAGGGGCTAAATTATTAAATAGAGCCTTTCTTACAATGTTTCATTATCTGGGATTTACCTCAGCTGGTGATTTGTCAGCAGCGCGGGGAGATTTGCTGGGCATTTTGTATTAAAATCATTCCAGATGCATATGAATCCATTTTGATAATTCCTTTCCTTTTTACAGTCTTCTCTCTAGATTTGTGATTAACTCCTGTCCAGATGGCACTTCAGATTTTCACATGGATGTTATGTTGTGGTGCAAGGACAGGTAGGGGTAGGGGTAGGTCTGTCACACGCACAAGTGCACATGTGTGTGCTCACACGTCCATATATATATATGAAAAACCCTTTCCTTAGTAACAGGTTGTTCTTATAAAGAGCTAAATTGATTTGTTTGCCTTGCACGTGTTAAATTATCAAGACATTTGGAGTGTCTTT